CTCAAATTGCCATTTGTTCAGATTCAGCTTTAAAGAGGGGTTTTTCGTGGGGAACACTCTGAAGCAAAGAAAAGGGTGCTTGGACACGGAGCTTTAAAGTGTGGACCTGTGCCAGAACAAGCAGGGCAAAAGGTATGTGTGGATAAGCCCTCTGTGTTTTCAGACCTCCAGATTTCTTTAGCTTCCTGGTTTTTCATATTTTGTCTCACTTCCCTTTGCCACTCAGTGCCTTGAACCAGCCTCCTTAAAATTCCATTTTTTCCTCCTCCCGGTTTCTCCTCATTTTGGTGAGACATTTCATCAGAGTACCCTTTCTGATTAGAAATGTCTTACATAATTTCTCTGTACTCCTTTGTCCTTTTCCTCAAGTATTAATTCTTCACTTTTCCTTCAGGTTCCACTTTATTGATCCATTGCCTACTCTGTCTTCATCCTTTGGGATACCTGTTCTTTTGTTTCCCTAATATCCAGGCCTCTTACCAGCTGTGTATGGAATTTTAATCTCCATCAAACTGACAATTCCATCTTCCCTCACTGGAGTTGGACCACCGAATGCTTAGCTCCTGAACATTCTGTGCCATCATGCAAGCTCAGCCAACCAGAGGCCCCACTGCCGTGAGTGCAATACAATATAGATGGGAAGCAACACTGTGCTGAAATGCACTTCATGGTGGGAATGGAAACAAGAGCAAGCCTGTTACCCCTAAATGTACTTATTTGTTTGAGTATTGGTATTAGTTGAGTTTGCTATTGCGAAAAGTATACAAAAGGTTAAATAGAATATAAATACAATTAGTATACAAGCAATTATGTTTAGTATAATAGGATCTCTATAATAATTAATATAATATAATAATATAATGAATACCATGAATAGAATATTAATATTTCAATAAATATTTTCAAGCGCTTTATTTTACTGTTTCTTTTCAAAAAGAAAACGATGGTCTTTCCCTGTCCCTCAGTTTGCTTGAATTTGAACTCTCTGATCTCCTCCCCGACTTCAAACTTCCTCAGCAGAAAATATGAATTCACTGAAACTTGCACTTTATTATTCCAAGAAGAAACAAACAAACACCATTTCTTGCCTTCCCTCTCTTGCTTTCACCGGATTTGTTAATGTCATCATATATGCCTGTAAAGTAATCCTCCTTTTTGAATCATTGTAAAATGGCTTTTTAACCCAGAGTCCTGGGTACAGCATCCACTGAGGAAGATTTCCATAATTAGTTTCACCTTGCCACCTGTGTCTAATGCAAGACAGTGTCAAGGTCACCATGACTGTGCAAAAATTAACTGAGGGCTCAGCCACACTTTTTGCCCCATGCTTTCTAGGCAGAGGTCCACATTTTAAAGCGCTATGTCTGAGCACATTTTTTTGGCCTGCTGCTTTCTCTGTGAAAACCCACTCTTTACCCCTAAATTGGAACAAACAGGGTTTAAAGCTTTAATCAGACATAACGATTTTAAAGCATAGACCTGTGCCTAGAAACACAGCAATGGAGGAGGCCCCCAGTTGGCAAGGCCCAGCAGAGCTCAGTGTAAATACATCCTAACCCCCCTCCCACCCCCTGGGAAGAAGAGGGAGGCTGATATACTCCCCATAATCAGCCCCTAATTACCTCGTGCGAGCCGGATAGATGGTATTGTCGACCATCTTCCAAGGCGCCCCTAGCGCCCCCCCCCCCAGACTTGGGGTTAGGGTTACTCTGCCCCCGAGTCTTGTGGCACCTTAATGATTAACTTTTTTTTTATAACGGCAGAACCTGTATGGCAGCCCTAACTTTGCATCTGTTGAACTGAATTGCTGCTTTCTATACTTCTTGCATTTCATTTCCCTCTGACTCCACTGCTTACAACCATGTTTATAAATACCAGCAGCTGAGGATTACACTGCATGCATCTAGTAAAGTGGATCTTAGCTCATGAAAATGTGTGCCAATTTGTTAGCCTTTAAAGTGCCACAACATGCCTTGTTGTTTTAAACTTCCATTTTTTAAAATATTCTGTCGATCATTTTGATTGTTGCAGTAGCCATACCCAGGAAAGCTATTGACTCACTTTATTTATTTATTTAAAAGCATTTCTGAAGCACTTAATATCTTTAAAATCTCTAAGCAGCATATAAAATGCAATATTAAAACAATAAAACAGAAAAATAAAAACAGAGACACAGCATTTTTTAAAAAACACACACACACTACAACAACAGTAAAACAGTTTAATAAAAGCAGATAAACAGGAATTCAGTAATAACAGAGGCCAATGTTTTAGGTCATGGAAAGCCTGGGCAAGAAGACAAGTCTTTACAAGACAGTTGAAGCGACTGATGGGTGATGTTCCATGTATGAAAGAAGGAAGAGCGTCACAAAGTACAGGGGCAATTTCCAGGTCACTTCCGTATGATATTCTTCAGCATGTGGTGCTGTGAGTAAAATTTCTCCAATGATCTTACAGGTCTATAGAGCTGTTTCAGGTAATCTGGTACAGATATGTGCAGAGCTTTATATCTTAGCAACAAGATCTTGAACATGGCTTGTTAGCTGATATACTACTTTAGCTGCGTCCCAAAACTTGCAGAGGCTCAGCAGAACCTTTTGTCTGAAGGTTCGCACCATGTCATAAGCTGCCCTTGATACATTCCCATGCTTCAGAAGTGGCTCTGCTGTTAATGTCCCTTTGAGCCACTCCAGGAATTTTTTCTAGAATCCTTGATCTGTATCTCTCTTGCTGTTTGCTATTGCTCATGTTCTTATCACTAGCTCCTTCAAAAGAAAGCTGGAACTTTGCCAAGCATCAGATGTGAAACCACAGTCTGGCTAGACCTCTTCCTTTGTTTTCGAGACAGGGGCAGCCAATGTAGTGCCCTCAAAATGTCATTTCACTTCAACTCCCATGAGACCCACCCAGCATGGCCAATGGCCAGAGATGATGGGAGTTGTAGTACATTAACTTCTGAAATGAGTCACATTGACTACACCTGCCCTGCATGGTAGAAAGCAATTGGTGGACCAAATTATATACCGTTGATTTTATCTTCCTTCAACAAGTCTGAAGCTAAGGGCAGCATCCACCAGGAGATTTGCTTGAATTTCTTACTGTGCTAAAATTGCTGGACCTGGTTGTTTAAGGAAAAATGCTCTATCACAAATTATGCTTGACTCAGATGGTTGCTACTAGTGCTAGGAAAACTCGCATTGCTTGAGTTTGGAATCTGCTCATTATTTAAGAGCATTCTTGGTGAGCATTTGGTGACAGATAATCCCATAGGAAATGCAAGCTTTTGACAGAAGAAAGGTTCCCCATCATGCTGAACATATTTACCTGGGAGTAAGCTCCACTGAATTCAATGGAACTTACAGTACAGCTCTGAATACCAATAGTTGGGAATTGCAGGTGGAGAGAGTGCAGCTGTGTTCGAATTCCTGGCTTCCAATGGGCATTTCCTGCTCACTGGGAGAACAGGATGCTGGACTAGATAGGCATTTTTAGCAGGGCTCTTCTTACTTCTGAGTAGCCATCAACAGAATTGCAATGTAGTGGTATTTTCTGTTTCCTCCATTTCAGTTTCACTCCACGTGGACCATTTAAAAGTCACCCCCACCCCTCAAAATCAGGTTGCATGCCCACAGGCAAGCTGCATGCCTGATCAAGATCTATATTCCTAGCATTGTTTACGGAATCACTTGCTGGTCATAAATTTTATGGAAGGCTAATCAAATGCAAAGCACAGGAGTGGTAGCACTCAGAGAAATGGACGCCACAGGGCAAATAGAAACTGCAACAGCATGCTTGTTGTTTTGGTCACTGATATACCAGTAGGATTCACGGATCTCATTAAAATCCAGCCTACAGTTCCGAGGCAAGAAGCCTCACTAAGGATTTCAGACCCTTAAAGCTAAATATAGAAAAATAATGTGTTTCCTCTCGCCTTTTAAACAAACAAACAAGCAGAAATAGGCTATGGTATGGTAGGGTACAATATAGGTCGAGCTTATCCTAATATTTTTTTTAAAAGAAGTTTATTAATCCCACCAAGTATATACATAATTAAGTTTGGGGGGAGGGTTATTTTAGGAGGGAATACAAACAGAATTTACATAGTAATTCAAGAGGACTATCAACACCAACAATAGCATTGTGGAAACCATATTGTGTGTTCTCCAGAACAAAATTAAAGATTACATTTCCCCTCCCCCACAAAAATAGCTATAGAAATCTATTTTGACCTCACTTAATGTAACACAACTCGTGATACCCCTCACCACCATCAAAACAGATTTTAGTATGTTTATTGTTCTATCCATATATTCAGAATAAATAAAATCTATTTGAAAAATCAACAAACAGAATTTTAGGGTGCTAGTTCTGACAATTATTTATCTATCAACAGTTACATCTTTTTTTGCGGTCTGCTAAACATTTCCCCACCCTCACCCAGCTGCCTATAAATATTGGATTAATTCCAGATCCCCCATGGCTAGGGTTCAGTGGCAGAATACATGCTTTGCATGCAAAAGGTCTCAGGTTTAACCCCCAGTATCTCCAGGCAGGGCTGGGAAAGATTCTTGCCTGAATAACTGGGGAGCTACTGCTAGTCAGTACACACCAACCTTCCCCAACCTGGTGCCCTTCACATATTTTGGATGCAGCATGGCCAGTGGTGAGGCTCCCCACCCCTTTTATAGTCTCATGTGGAGAGCAACAGAGCATTCCGGCCTTTCAGAAGTCCAACTCTCCCTGCTCAGGAGGACAGAAGTTGTTCAAAATCTGTTCCCCCTGTCTCTTTCACACATCTTAGGGGTACAGCTGGATTTCCCTGCAATAAATGTAAATGTCTGGAATGTCAAGAAACTGCCCATATGAGCCCACAGTTATGAATATAAACAGACTTGTCTGTTCTGTAGAATTTTGGACACACAAGTAGCAGTCTGGTAATGTGTACACAGACTGGCAGCAACTCTCCAGGGTTTTAGATAGGAATCTTTTTCAGGTCTACCTGGAGATGCCAGGGATTGAACCAGGGACCTTCTACATGCAAAGCATGTGGACTCTACCACTGAGCCTATATGGGAGTGGCCCTCACCAGTATGACCTCAGAGCAAATTCTGGACTCCAGGTGTCACCATTCTAGACCTTCCCTGCTCGTTCAAGGACCCAGAATTCTGGAACTCATGGGGAGAAGTGACTCGGTTAAAAATTCAAGATGCCTTGTCAACAACTCGACCGTACGCCCTTGTTTAACAATTCAAAATAAGGGAAACACAATACAAACACAATACTGCTGAACTTCTTGTCTTTCCAATGCTGCATTTTTGAATGCCCCGAGGAGGGATGGCATATCAGTTTCATGATAGATTGTCTTTCCTGTGGCCACAAGGTGAAAGGAGCAGTGTTGTTTGGTATGCTTCCAAGCCTACTCTTTTTCCCTGTCTTGGCATGCTTTCTGTCTATACCATGCAAATCTCTTTCCCCTACCTAACCTTTACAACATCGCCTTGCTTTTAATGTACTCTATGTGGCTGTCCCTTTCATCCTTGCTATTAACTGACTCTTCCTTTCCCTGCCCCTGTATTTCATCACATTGCTTCATTTTTCATATGCTTTCTGATGTATCCTAGCTCTCTTGATGTACTCTTTGCCTATTCCAGCCAATGAACAATAGAAAGCAGCTTCAGACATTATTGGGAGTCATTTTGGACTCATAGCTGTCCATGGAGGCGCAAGTCAATTCTGTGTCCAGGGCAGCTGTCTACCAGCTCCATCTGGTACCCAGACTGAGACCCTATTTGCCCACGGACTGTCTCGCCAGAGTGGTGCATGCTCTGGTTCTCTCCCAATTGGACTACTGCAATGCGCTCTACGTGGGGCTACCTTTGAAGGTGACCCAGAAACTGCAACTAATCCAGAATGCGGTAGCTAGACTGGTGACTGGGAGTTGCTGCCGAGACCATATAACACCAGTCTTGAAAGACCTACACTGGCTCCCAGTACGTTTCCAAGCACAATTAAAGTGTTGGTGCTGACCTTTAAAGCCCCAAACGGCCTCAGCCCAGTATATCTGAAGGAGCATCTCCTCCCCCATTGTTCTGCCCGGACACTGAGGTGCAGTGCCGAGGACCTTCTGGCGGTTCCCACTGGGAGAAGTGAGGTTACAGGGAACCAGGCAGAGGGCCTTCTTGGTAGTGGCGCCCGCCCTTTGGAACGCCCTACTGCCAGATGACAAGGAAATAAACAACTACCCTACTTCTAGAACATATCTGAAGGCACCCCTGTTTAGGGAAGTTGAAAGCTGCCCCGAGTGGCTGGGGAAACCCAGCCACATGGGTGGGGTAGAAATAATATATTGTTGTTGCTGGAAATGTACGTAGAAATAATAATGGAATAATGTGTCAGCAATGTAACTGGCATTATGCTTAGTTATGTAAATGCAACAAACAGGGAGCCACCACAGAAAAGACCTGTTTTCATGTTGTCACCCTCCAAACCTCTTTTTTGGGGGGGGGAGTGCAATTATCAATTCTGTCACCAGTGGCTTGAATCAAGGTTATGGATTATCATTATTCAACATGTGTTAATTAACTTACCAAACACCAGGCTTTGCCAAGCACCAAACACCAGATTGTTTGTGTTGCCAACAATGCTGCCTTGTTAATTGGTCACTTCTACTATTTTGCTCTCAGATAATTTCCACTGTCTGTTCTTTGATTTTCCTGTGAACTCTTCTACATTCCTACCACCACCACTCTATGTATTTGTCTTTGCCAGTTCAAGATTACCCTTCACGAAGTGCCCTGTGGTCATCAACAGTTTTTGCCATAATGCTGCAAAAGTTGGCTTACTGCAGTGCTTGATGTGGAACTCCCTTGGGCTTCACCCTGAAAATGTAACTAGTGCAGAATGCAGCCACTAGATTAACCAGGGCACCCCACTGACACCATATAACTGCTGATGGAACTGCACTGGCTGTCAACATGCTGCCAGGCTCAGTTTAAGGTTTGCCTTTTGGCATTTAAAGCCCTAAACAGTTGGGAACAGGATATCTAAGGGACCACCTCATCCTCTATTGTATATCCCTGCCCAGAATTTATGCTCCTCATATGGGGCACTGCAAAGACAGTCATATGCCCTGGAGGTTTGCTTGGCCTGTACTAAAAACCAAGCTTTTAGAGTTGCAACTCCAGCTCTCTGAAATTAATTACCAGTTGTAATCAGACAGGCACCCACTGTGATTATGTTTAGACACCTACTGAAACCATTTAAAAGAAGAAGAAGAAGAAGGCTTTCCTTGAGGTGCAACCCACTAATTTATGGAAGGTCAGTTCTACAGCCGATGAAATAGTTTTGTGACAATAACTCACCAATACTATAATTACTCTGCTCAAAATTAGGGTGCCCAGTTGTTGGGATTTGCAGGCAGGCAGAGCACAATTCCTGCTTGTCAGGGGTGGAGGAAAGGGGGTGCATTGGGTGTGGGCCGCCCCGGGTGTCACCATTGGGTGGGGGGTGACAAAATGCCGGGCGGCACTCACCGTGGGGCCTGCAGCGCGCCCAAATCACGCATCTCTCCTGGGAGAGATGCGGTGGCTTGGGCACGCACAGGCTGCACGCTGCCGAAACAGTCCGCCCTCTGCCTCCCCCCCAGCTGTAGGGCGGCTGAGAGGGAGGAGGCAGGCAGACGGTGTGCCCTGCCTGCGGTGTGCCCTGCCCCTATGGGTGGCTGCCGCCCCTGGGCACACTGCCCCAGGCACCCGAGCGGCTTCCTCCGCCACTGCTGCTTGCTGACTTCCTATCAGCATTTAGTTGGTCACTGTGATAAAAAGATGCTGGATTAGATGGACCTTTGGTTTGATCCAGAAGACCTCATATTATGTTTTTATGTTCAGAATGGGATGAGTCCAAAGGGGGCGGAAAAGAGAAAAGAGAAACATCCAAACTTCAGTGCTGTCCTTCATAAAATAAATATAAAAATAAGGATTGCAATTTTCTAATGGATTTTTCTAAGATAGTGAATTACATTGCCAGGTAAAGTGTTTCCCCCTACTTTCCCAATGTTATTATGAGTTTTAAGCGCATCTGAGGTTAAATGGAATGCGGGAAGTAACAAGTATCTAAATTCATTGGTAGTTCTTTTGTTTGCTTATCAAGTGAATCGGTTGTTAACAGTCAGGCCTTTTATATGCTTAAGTCCACTTGCTAATAGACTTCGCATTCTTATCGTGATGTTTCCTTGAACTCGAACTAGGTGTAGAAATGTAAAGATTGGGACGTGGAGAAATGACTAAATTACAGAGCAGTGTGCTACAACCGGTACAGAGAAATTCTGATATTTTTTCGTGGGGGAAAAAAAATATTGCCAATTATGGGAGCTGTCAATTCAACAATGGGCTTATTCACTCTGGTGTTTGATTAATGTGAAATTATTCAGTTGGCTACCTTGTAGTTGGCCTATTTTTGTGTCCAATTAGTATGCTAATAATGGTAATTATGTTCTATACTGCATGTCTCATCACCTAGAGGGTTTTTAAAATGATAAAATAATGAGAATAAACAAGCTGATGCTGACATTCACTGGGCGATTCTAATTACTTACTGAGAGCACGCTGGGGAATCAACACTCAACCAAAGAAAATGATTCTTGCTTACTTTGTTAAAACTCCTCTTTTCAAAAGAGCATTAATAGTTTGCCACTGTTTCTTTTTTTTCTTTATTGCAAGGGACCACAGTGCTTCCCTCCCCCCTCCCCCACCTCTCCGTTGCTTTGTTTATGTATGGCATGGGTGTAGACATATATAATCCAGTCATATTTGGCTTTTCTAATAACTGTTTGCTGGCAGTGTCAGCAAAACAAATTGTCATAATTGCCAAATTATGCACCTTTGTAATGGCTACCATTTGTTTCCTCCTTCTCCCTGATAAACACACCGTCACCTGTGACGTTTACAGTACCTGGTGCATTTTCAGCTTAGGCGAGCAGATAATTGGCACTCATTTTGCCCCACCAGGGCTCGACACTATGGTACCTCGTCATGGCAAGGGAGGTGAGATTAGTTTCAGAGGAAAGGAGGCAAGGGGAAAGAAAGGGTGAGCATTGAAATTCTGTGCCTACTTCATCCAAATGCTGTAGCTTGAAAAGAACTGGATTACTGGGCTACTTCTTTCAGATGGGAGTGGGTGAGACAACAGGTTTCAAAATGTGCTCCTGGATGTTCGAAATGAAATTGCTAAAAAGAAAATGCGGGGAGCAGCTGTACATTTTGAGAGCCTATTTAATAATTCAGTAAGTATCATTCACTTTATTCATTAATCTATCAAGATACGAACATAGGAATTGCCTTGTACTGACCATATAGTGCAGTTTTGCCTCTAAACTGACGGGTAGCAGCTGTCCAGGGTTTCAGACAAAGAGCTTTCCCTGGCTTACCTAGAGATGCTGAGGACTGAACCTGAGACCTCCTGCAACCAAAACAGATGCACTTCTAAGCAGTTTACATAAAGCATTCAAAAGGAAATGCCGATAAAATCAACAGGCTTTTGAAACAAGTAGATGTAACAAAGTGATCGAAATATTGATAAACTTTACAGTTTAAAAATATGCTTTATAAAAATCAATATAACAGTGTTTGAAGCAAGTGAGGAAAGTTAGAGGGTTTCTTGATTTTATATTGGAGGTACAGGCCCCATTATATATACGTATTGCTGCTGTTCTATTGTCCCTATTCCGTTGTATTTCTAAGTGTAATGTAGTAATTTTGTGGGCCCATGTGCAGTGAAGCCATGAGGGGTGGGTGTTGAACACACAATTAAGACATACTGTAAAATAAGCACAAGCCACCAGTGCTGGGATCAAATAAGGCTACAACTTTGTTAATTGCAGGTGCATGCAAGTTTTAGCATATATGTATATATATATATACAGTAGTCAACCAGTCTGCTTGCTGGTTGATCGACACCCCGCCCCCCCGGACAGCCACCAGAAGGAGCTGCTAGGGCCCTTCTGCCCTTGAGTTGGGTATCTGGACAGAAGGCATCCCACCCACACTCTTAAGGGGATACCTGCTTATGG